AAACCCGCAGAAGGAGACGTACGGTAAGAGAGACAAACATACGAGCAGAGACATGAACAAATCGATGACCGGATGAAGGATGGGGAGTCGGACAGCGGCGGAGAGAAAAAGAGAGAGACAGAACCGACTGACCGGCAGAACGACGAAGGTATATTTCCATGATCGGCTTATCGGGTTGGTGAATGGTGAGTCTCACCTCGGCGGTGACGGCCGTGTCCCAAGCATCCTGGTACTGGTCGTAACGCGGGGAAATTGTCATCACACGATGTCCACGGGCCTGCACAGCATAACCGCAGAGAAGGAAGCCATTTAAGCCATGATAACCTTCGCAGTCAATGCATGAGCTCAGGTATTTCTGTCTGTCTGGACGTGTGTTTGTAGGCGAGCACAATAGAGAGAGAAAGAGAGGGAGGGAGGAGAAATGTAGGCGGGAGGGAGAAGAGGCACGGCACAGAGGGAGAGAAAGACAGAGAAGAGGCACACACACACACACACACACACACACACACACACACACAGATGACAGATGACAGATGACAGATGCGATCGAGAACGCAGTGATGAAACTTACAGCCAGCGTGGCTGGAAGAGCGCCCATAACGTCCCCTAATCCGCCCACCTTCGACCACGGCGCGGCCTCTGCCCCCACGAACACCAACGACATCTTCGCCATGTCCGGGACCAAGAACGGTAGGCCGTCCACGGCTCCGGTCTTTAACATGGCCCTGTTTGAACTTTCGGCTGTGGGAAGAGTGGAGACCCCATCATGTCTCTGAGCTCCCGACATTCCTGGGGTCTCGACGCTCGCTGAGACCACGATAGCTCTATGACCGCGTGGTCCATTGCCGGCAACGGGCATTGGAAGACCCCTGCCGCCGATCGCATTTGACTGTCTCATATGCCGCGTACCGCTGCCGTCGACGACAGTCGTCGACAGGTTCGGACAAACAGTTCGGCTACCGCTCGATTTCCGGGCCACACACAGAGAATGACACTGCAGATGACAGCCGTCGACAGCAGACAGAGTGGCCAATAAATGCCTTGCTGACGCTAAAGCAACGCAGGGGCAAGCCAAGTGATCCATAGTGACTGAATGAAGCTGAGCGGAAGAGAGACAACCAGAGGCTGCGGGCTTGCAGTGGTGATATGGACTGAGCACCACACACAGTGACACAGTCCAACAGTGTGCGCTCGAAACTGCACTCGCCACAATAAGTAACCACGACTTATCAAGACAAGAAGAGATGTTGCTGACGCAACTTGACGGAACACGCGTGTGAACTCTTCCCCTTCGTATTGAACTGGATTCGGATCTGACACGACCCCTTTCGCCCAGCGATTTCGATATTTATGGTCGCCGAACTGCGTCTGCTTGGGAGGTAACGAACTCGGATGTACTGGATCAAGTTGATGCGGGCCTTTTTGTTTTTATTTTTTTAACTGTAGGAGACAATGATGATCCGTTTGACGAGCTTCGACCTGATGCTGCTGCTACTTTTTCTCCCCGAATAGAACGGATGTGGACCAATTCAGTCTAAGATACAACTACAATGACCGTTCGTGCTATTCGGGGAAAGACCGTACTACCGTCGTTCGCATCGGTCAATCGTCCAGATGGCACCAATTGCTGCCAAGACGCCCCTCTTTCAGTTCAAACGTTGACGACGACGGTCCAGGAGCAGTTGTGGTCTGTCTGGCACGTTTTAGTCGTAGCCTTTCCTGGCCCGGCCCTAACTGTAACGGTCCAGGGCAGCCAAGTCGTAGCCTACCTGGCCATGGCACGTTTTAGTCGTAGCCTTACCTGGCGTCGTTCAGATCAAACGTTGCCGACGGTCCAGGGGCGGCTGGGGTCTGGCAAGTCTTGATCGTAGGCTTACCTGGGCCGGGCCTAACTGTAACAGTCC